GCCTGTGAACTCCATCTTTCCCCTGTGCTGCTAAGTGGAACAGGGCTGGTGATGATTTCTGCAGGCCTAAAGATTTTCTGGACCATTCTTTTAAGGCTTATCTGTTGATGATGGAAGGATAAATCATGATCGCCAGGAAAGCATAGCTGGAGGGAGAGCAGCTTGTCCCGCAACACGTTGGTGGCCCTTGAAACGGCACCATAAGATTCTCCACCTCTGTTTTTTTGCAGACATCACTGGGCGGGGGAGGGGAATCTACCTGGTGCCAGGAGAATCATTTTTCTTAAAGCCAGAGGACTCTCCTTGGTCCAGAAAGGTAAATTCAGACAGGCCAAGCACCCAGGAAGAAGACGCCGGCAGCCGAAGCAGCATAAAGAAGCAAGGTAGATCCAGCAAGGAAGATGAGGGGGGACTGTTCTCGGCTGTGGGATCCCTTCTGGGGACCTGGGACAGAGGCGCAAAGACAACAAGGAGATAAGTGCTCCCAGTATATTAGACACAGCAGGGGGACAAGCTGCAGCCCTGGGCTCCCTGAGAGAGTTCCTCCCAAGCAAACAAAACAGGCATTATGAAAGCAGCAGGAAGAGTGGGGACACGTCTTTCCCTTTCAAATCTTGTTTCTCAAAGAAAGGACAATAGTGAGTTGATAAATGCAACTAATTGTGAGACCTCGGTGAGTGTGTAAGTGCATCCCTTAAGATTGAAAGGACAGGAACTCGAGGGGCTTTTGTTAAACTTAGGGGGAACTAAGCAAAGAGGCTAATAAATTGCTTAGTTAGTAATCTGGGTGTTGCCCCTTCTCCACCCCTCCCAGCTCCTAGCAGCACATGGAGGTGCTGGGGCTCCTGTGATTTGACACAAATTGGGAGATGCCCAAACTGTGACAGCAGGGGTCAGAATCTTTTGGCTTCTTTCCAAATGGAAAAAAAGTGAGCCTCTTATTCAGGGTCTGCTGCCCAGGCTAGAACACTCTACTTATTGGCTGGGAGAGGTGATGGCAGAGGAGGGAGGGGAGTGGGAAAAGGGACAATGGGAGAAAGGAGAAGGCAGTCCTGAGATGATGGTGTTAGGGCAGCTGCCCTCCCTCTCACATGCGGGGGTCTGTATGTAAGTGAAACAGGACCTGGGGCTCTCAGTAGTGTCTTATGTTAGCCAGGGCTGAAAAAAATCAAACCTCTGGGATTGGCTTTCCAAATCCTGTGGTACCTTCTTGCGATCATTTGCTCCTTGTTCATCTGTTTGGGATCTGGGGGCTGTTGCCAATAGTAGTGAAGAAAGGAGACTAAATTCTCTCAGCTGGACCAGTGGCTGACATTTATGCTGGGGAATGAGGGTGGTAAAGTTAACTAGGAAGGTCTTTCTGTGTCTGTCTTTCTCTCTCTGTGTCTCTGTCTCTCTCTGTCTCTCTCTCTCTCATTTCCCCCGAGGATGTGTTTGACCCTTGCTACTATCACTGAGCTTCCTGCTTCCCTGCCTTCTCTTAACACCCAGCAGAAGTACCTTCTCAGTTCAGGCCACAAGCAGGTTGCCTTACAGGGAAAGCCCAAAGCCTTTGGGGGAAAGAAAGGATGCTAAAGAAAAAAGGATCAGGGCTTCCCTGGTGGCGCAGTGGTTGAGAGTCCGCCTGCCAATGCAGGGGACACGGGTTCGTGCCCCGGTCCGGGAAGATCCCACATGCTGCGGAGCGGCTGGGCCCGTGAGCCATGGCCGCTGAGCCTGCGCGTCCGGAGCCTATGCTCCGCAGCGGGAGAGGCCCGCGTACCGCAAACAAAAAAAGAAAAAGAAAAAAGCATCAGAGATGGTCCGCAGTCTGTCCTCCTGTCTGTCTGTAGCCCTTCTCCCTTAGCTAGTGGACACCCTTAGAATTCCCACCCCAGCAACTCAATCTTGCTTCTCCTCCCACTGCCAAGTGGCTGCTTACCTGGCTTCAGGGGTGTTTTTTTACTCCGTGGCTCCGCCCCTCACCTGGTCTTTGGAGCCCTTTGAAACATTCTTTCCTTAACACCCCCCATTCCGATCCAAGAGGACCACACATCAGCCTTCCCTTCTTGTTTCTGATGCACTTCAGTCCCACATCCTGTCTCTGGGCACTGGGATTGAAGTCCAGCTGGAGTTACGGAAGCGTTGGCAGTAGAGGCTGTGAGTGGACCACGCTCAAGTAGTGGAGAAAATCCCAAATTAGGAGATCAGTCAGTCACACATATTCGCTGGCTTGGCTCAAGCTCAGTCACTAACACGCAGTCAGGAAGAAGCATCACCATCAGAGAGGTGAGTCACGTGGCACTGTTCCAGCGGCTGGACCTGCTGCACCTGTGCTCTCGTAGCTGCCTTAAGGGACTTGCTGGAGTTGGACCGTGACTTCAGGGGAGAAACGCTGGCTGTACTGTGAGCATCCGAGGACCCCTTGACTCGGTTTTAAAATTTATTTCAGTTGGTCTAATTGCTCTGGATCATTCTATCCCAACGTCATATCTCTGTCTGCTAAGCTCATGAGTACTCAGCACACAACTCAGACCGGCTCATGGGACAAGAGCTGGATCTGGAGCGTGAAGGTCCTAATTTCCTTTCCTGAACTCACTTGGCTTCACAAGGAACTATATGCGGGGAGGCCACACACGTGCTGGAGAATCTTCTCACCTGGCTACTAGTCCACGTGTTCACATCAGCACTTGAAGTTTAACTTTTTTCTAAAGAAATAAAAGTCTGCAGGTCAAAACAAGAGTGACAGATAAATCAACAAGAGCTTTTTAAGCAGGCGCTTATGTATTTTTAAAGTCAGGATATTGAAGTATAATCTAAGTTACATGAGTTTGTAATTTGTGGGATTTTTTTTTTCCGTTTGTACATTAAAATTTTTTTTTTAACTATAGTAAAATACACGTAACAAAATTTCCCATGTTAACCATGTTTAAAGCACAGTTTAGGAGTATTAAGTACATTCACATTGTTGTACAGCCGATCTTCAGGACTCTTCAGCTTGCATAACTGCAACTCGATACCCGCTAAACAGTACCGCTAAACTGAATACTCCCCTGCAACCACCATTCTCCTTTCTGTCTCTGTGAACTTGACCACTCTAGGTGCCTCATACAAGTGGAATCATACAGTAGTCACCTTTTTCTGACTTGCCTATTTCACTTAACATAATGTCCTCAGTGTTTATCCCTGTGTCAGAACTTCCTTCCTTTTTAAGGCTGAATAATATTCCATTGTATATATATACCACATTTTGTTTATCCATTTATCCATCAGTGGACATTTAGGTTGCTTCCACCTTTTGGCCACTGTAAATAATGCTATGAGCAAAGTGTACAAATATCTCTTAGCGACTCTGGTTTCTATAATTTGTGTCTTTTAAAATTGAGTGAAGGAATGAGCCTGGACGTATTCCATATCCCATGGCTTTGCATTTTTTACCATTTGGAAGAAATCGGGAGCGCAGCACTAATTTCACCAGGTAATATCTTTGCAGCTTCTCAGTGTTCTGACTTTTCAAGGGCTTCTTGTGCTCTTCTTTAGTGATAGGGGAGTGCTTTGAGAATTGCCATTAACTAGAAAGTAGCAGCAGTGCAGCTATATCTCGGTGATTGAAACACTCATCAAAGGCTGAACTGTCAGTGACTTGGTGTCTAACTAAAAACCACTGTTCCAGTTTCCCCTCACGTGGGACTTGAAGTCCCACCCCACGCTTCCCCGGGCCAAGAAAGCACATGGTCCTGGGGTGAAGTCTCATGTCTGGGAGCATTGTGCTCCACTACTGAGTGCCCTTCTCACTGGCAAAGGCCTATAAATAACATGCGGGATCCTGTTCCACAGTCAGCAAAGGGGCAGGGGCTGAGGGATTGCTGAAATAATTTCATGAACAAATTGATCAAAGAAATGATCTGTGAATGAATCTTAGGGAAGGGAGAGCCAGCCAGCCATGTGGGCAGATAAGACTCCTCACCTGCAAAACCAGCCTGTCTTTCATGTCCTCCATTGTCTGCAGGCATGTCTGAGCCCTCTTCTAGCCCATTTGGCATGCAGATAGCTAAGTGGGCTTCACTCTCAGCTCAGAAATGACTTGGGGGGCTGAAGTTGTTCCCATCCTGCCCCCCTGCAAGGAGGAAAGGGAATCTAGTTCAGGAACCAAAACAAAGCTTTTTCATCTCATCTCATCTTTTCAGACCCCAAGACAGAGTTCTCCACCGCCCCCCAGACACAGGGTCATCCAGCATGAAATGCACAGAAATCAAATGCATATCCGTTACAGGAGAAATGGCAGGGAAGTGGGGCTAAGGTGACAGACTCTGAAGAGCAAACACATACACCTTTGTGCTCTGTCTTCTTAAAATTCATCCTCTCACCTGCCAGCCTTGAGAATTGCCTATTTACATAGCTAGCTGCCTAAAATGGAATATTAGATAATGTTCCATGGCGGCTCACTCAATTTGAGCCCATCCCCGGGATATGAGTGATCCAGAAGTCCTCTGACAGTGTATAGCGTGGCACGCTGGCCCGCAGCCATGCCTCCGTGTTGTGTGAGCTCCGAGCTAAACAGATGTCAGGCCCGATCGCCTGGGTGGGAGACCAGCCGAGCAGCGGGGGGGAGGGGGCGTGATTCAGCACGCGGCTCCGTGGCACAACGGCCTTCGTGGACAGAGAGCATCGTTTCCTGAGCTTCACGGCAGGCGCCTTGTTCTGCCCAAGGTGCTGTCTCAGAGACTGCCGACTAAAGGGACTGGGAAAGGGGGAGCTGCAGGATCTACGGGGACAACCGGTCCAGGAGGTAATCAGTTCTGATGCCATCCCTGGCGCTGTGCCAGCCTCACACCCGCTCTTGGTCCTTTCCAAGGCGTGCATCTCCCTCCCATCAGAACTGGAGTCCTGCTGCTCTCGTATAGGAGGAGTATAAATAAGTGATACGGAAGTGTCCTGATAATGATAAGCAGGCATGTCTTCTCAGCAGACCAGATGAATCAAAGAAGGCAATTGTGTGTGTTTGTTCATTTATTTTTCAGTGTTCCGGTTCCCGTAGTCAGTTTAGAGAAAATTCCTAACCTAGTGAAGGCAGATGGTGCCAATGTCAAAATGAACTCTGCAGCCACTACTGCGGTCACTTTCTGCTCCACCTCATCCTCTGCCGTCTCCACCCCACCTGTCATTAAGCCGGTCTTGATGTCCAAGTCAGTGCCACCTTCCCCAGAGAAGATCTTAAATGGCAAAGGAATTTTGTCTGCCACCATAGACAAGAAACACCAAAATGGCACCAAAAACAACAACAAGCCTTACAGGAGACTTTCAGGTACGTGTCTGTGTCCTTCGAGTCTGGCTTGTGATCAGATTGCAGTTGAGTTGCGTCCAGAACGAGGGAGTGATGCTTTCTTATCATAGAGCAGGTCTGTTTCGTTTTAAGGGAGACACGGAGTTTACCTGCCAACGGGAACCTCCCCCGCCCCTAAAAATACAGGGGAGAACTGGTTCTCTTAATCCCGGGCCAGATGCGGTACCTCGCTCAGCCCAGCCCTGAGCAGCAGTTACCTTAGTGACCCCAAGGCAGAAGGCTCTGCAACCCCTCAGCAGTCTGTGGATTCGGAGGGTCTTGTCCTCACACTGACAGGCCGAACTGCCCCTGGGTTCCGGAAAGCAGAGTCGGGCAATCCACCGTGATATCTCCCAGTAGCTCAGGGCAGGCTTGGGACAGTCACCTCGGTGCTGTCTGCCCATCTCCATCCTTTGGTCTCGTTGGTTTCCAGGTTGATTCTGTGGTCTGGGGCTGCAACTGCCTTTCCCACATAAGCAGATTGGAATTTCCATCTGGAAACGCTTGGACTGGCACAGCAGATGGGGTGTTGAAGGGTCTCTCTCCGATCTACTTGGTTGCCCGAGTACCTCAGGGTACCCAGAAAGGTGCACACGGCCAGTCCTTAAGACAATGGTTGCGCTTAGGGGCCCTCAAGTGGGTGATAGTTGCTTTGGGATTGTTGTAGAAGGAAATCCGGCAGTTTTACTTTCTCTAAAAGACCAAGAAAAGCTATAAACTTTATAACTTCTTCACACACTCTGGGCATTTATCAAATGTCAACCAGAAAAAACAAAATACAGTTGACCCTTGAACAGCGCAGGGATTAGGGGTGCCGACTCTCCACGCAGTCAAAAATCCCTGTATAATTTCTAGTTGGCCCTCCGTATCTGCAGTTCCTCTGTATTTGCGGATTCAGCCAACCTGCAATCATGTAGAACTGCAGTATGTACTATTGCAAAAGATCCGCGTGTAAGTGGACCTGCACAGTTCAAACCCACGTTGTTCATGGGTCCACCGTACAGGGTAAGCTGCCCTGTGAGAGTGAAGCTGTGTCCTCTGGTATGAGCATAATTCCTAAGCACCCCAAGAATTGTGGGTCATTTTCATTTTGTACTTTGTGTTTATATGTGTTTCAGTTTCTCTATCTTACCTCTGTCACTTTTAAAAAGTTTACTTCTTAAAAGTACCTCAGGCCCAAAGCATTCTAATGACACAGTTATTTTACCCTGAAAATCTCTCCATGTCCTTTCCACCCGCTGTCCAGAAAGAAAGGCAGAGCCTGGTGCTCTCTTGAGGGCGGGGGCCTCACTGTGTGGACGGAGCCCCCCGCTCCTGGCTGTCTCCCTGCAGGGAAAGTTCATCTTCACTCTGCAGAGGGGGCAATCCAATAGGCCTGTCTGGGCGCAGTGAGGCCGGCTTCCTCCTCCTGGCAGAAGTATGACCATGGCTTCCAGCCGGCACCTTGATCTGAAGTTGGTCGGGCAGTTTTTGTGTGTTTGGGGATTTTGCATTTTGTTGGTGGTTTTGTCTCATTGGGTCTTTTGCTATTTCTCTCTCACTTTCACATTTGGCAGCCAGCTCCTACCCCCAGCCAAACAACCTGCTCAGTTCCAGGCCAGCACGAGTGCCGGTGTGGATCTGGGCACGGGTCTGACTCCGCCAGGCCCAAGGGAAAGAACTCACACCAGGCGGCCTTCAGCCTGGCACCCAGACCCTCCTCGGTGGGCAGAGAGGGCTCGTAGGAAGTGAACATCTCCAGGCCTAGCAGTTTTCTTTCCTTAAAAATGAAGCTTAAAAAAAGAAGACAAAAGCAAAAGAAAGAGGCAGGATGCATTTTGATAGTCAACCAGGAAATCTGTCTTGGACATGAGAATGGTTTTATTGCAAACATCATCATCACCACTGTCGCAACCTCCCCACAGCTCCCAAACCTTCTTTTAAAAATAGAATGCATTCATTTATTATGGTCAGAGCTTACTCCACTAAGTTCAGGCAGTTTTTCAGGCAAGGTAACCTCTTTTTAGCTTGCAGCCATTGGAGGCCCTTAAGGAGACATTCCACCAAGTATATATACACTCCCCCCGCGCGCCCATCCACCCACCCGCCAATGCTGCTGCCTGTCTCCCTGGATGCTCAGAAGAGCTATGTCATTCCTGCCCTGCAGGACTCAGGTGTTTGTTGGGTGCCTTCCAGAAATGGCACAGGTCATCAAGAGGTGGAACTTTAAAGCCTGAAGGGTTCTTAAGAGATTGCCGCACATCCCCTCGTTTTCCAGGGGAGGAGAGCATTTCTGTAATCCAGAAGGGGTGAAGGATCCAAAATGGGCATAAAAAGAGCAGATTCCTTAGAAGTAACCCCAACATGAGCCATCAGGAGTCCAGTGGGAAGGCAGGATCTGGGGAAAGCCCGCCTCCCTCAGCAGGTCCCCGAGGGACCCGGCTTGTTCCCATCTGGAGCATCAGGTCTCAGTCCAGGGGCAGAGCGACTGTGACACTAACAGGCCCTGCCCTCTCTGCACCTTCAGGTTCAGCCCCAGTGTAAAGCCCACACCTGCCCCTGCCCCTGCCTATATGTTCCTGAATCCGGGAAATGATTTTTCTGGCCAGCAAGGCTGCGTGGAAAGCCTCGTGCTGAGGACTTTGCAAAGCATTGAGAGAGGCAGGTCACACTGACATGTCAAGGAATAATCTCCCACTTAAATGGCTAAAACTATTAGGGAGGCAGGGCAGGAAGGGGTTGGTGATGTATTCTTGGAGCTACCCCGGGGGAAAAAGTGGCCCTTGGGCCTCAGGTGGTTCTCCCTGGTCTGCAGCCACCTCTGCCCAAAGGTACCGGGGGAATTGTTTGGAGTGAAAGTGTGAGAGCAACTGGCTCCTTTCCCTCCGCTGCCCACCCCCCACCCCCCATTCCCTTGTGCATTCCGATCCCTACCGCCTCCCGCTGGACTTGGGAATTCTTGGGTTCAGAGGGGAGCGCCATCTTCCCCCAGCGGTTCTGGAAGCATTTTAGCAGCCGGTTGGAAAAAAAAACAAACCAAAAAAAACAGATTGCCTGACAATGTCTCACTTGTTGGTGCAAATGTGCATTTTTTAAAAAATGTGGTCTTAATGCCAAATCCTATTTAGTCTCCTTTTTTCTTATATTTTTTGTTTGTTTCTTAAACCAGAGAGAGAATTTGACCCAAATAAACACTGTGGAGTATTGGATCCCGAGACAAAGAAACCTTGCACAAGATCCCTCACCTGCAAGGTATTTCTCTTTCCATAAAAAATACTTCCTGCTCTCGCTGGGGCCTTTGTCGAAATGTTTGCATGCCACTCTCTGCACACGGCAGGGTGTGGAGCCTCGACATGACCCCCAGCTGTTCTTTGTAAGGGAAATGCTTTCTTCTCTTCCATGGTAGCAGAGCGCCTGCCTCAAGCTGGCTGGCTTTTTAAGAAGGGAAAAAAAAAAAAAAAATAGGCTTCCCCTGTTACTTGTGAGGCCAGACAGTAAATTGTATTTATAGGCACTCACAGGCGGATCTAAACCCTGCTACGTTTTAATGTATGCAGGAGCAGCGCGGCGGCGGTGGCAGCGCCCTGAAAGGCAGCCCCGGAGGGGAGGACGAGCCGCCGTGCCCCTGATCCAGCCACAGCGGGGTGGCCAGGGGACAGCTGACCCAAGGCGGCCGCCAGTGGGTGGCCCCCAGCCCCGTATTTCATACTGAACTGCCAGTGCCTCTTGGGATGGAGGCTGTGGCCCTCTCTGCTTGGTGGCTCTGTGTGTCTGGGCCAAAGCAAGCCTCCCACCTGCACCTGGATTAACTCCAGCACGCCCTCACCGTTGCCTTTCATCAGAGAGGTTCTCATGGGCTCTGCGCTGAAGCTCGTCATCTTATGCCATTTTTTGGAGGAAGCTTTGGCTTCTTAACGCCAGGAGCGTAGGGCACGGTTGCGTTTTGTGTGGTCTCTGCCTCTTCCCAGCCACAGAACAGGAGCTGTTGCCTTGAAGTTGACTTTTCAAGCACCTCTAAATTCCCATGAATTGCTGTTTCTGAAATGGAGGGCCTGGGGAAGCAGGTTTATGTGCTGATCAAAGAGGCTGTGCTTTCCGTCTCTCTTCTCCTTAGACTCACTCACTAAGCCATCGGAGGGCAGTCCCAGGCCGGAAAAAGCAATTTGACCTCCTTCTGGCGGAACACAAAGCCAAGTCCCGGGAAAAAGAAGTTAAAGATAAAGAGCATCTCCTGACTTCGGCAAGGGAAGTACTTCCAAACCCATCCGGGCCAGTGCAGGACTCGCTGCCGGGATCTTCAGGGAGCTTGGGCCCAGAACCTAAAGTCGCGTCCCCTGCAAAATCCAGGCCACCTAACTCTGTGCTTCCTAGGTAAGTCCCACCTGGGCGATAGAAGCCTTGAGTCCTTGGTCAAGTGACCCTGCCTGGCTGGGTCGTATGTGGTTGGATCACGTGTGAAATGGGAGTCGTTATCGTCCTACCTGGGGAGGTGGTTGTGAAGTTGAAAGGAGAGAATGGGCGTGAGGGGCTCAGCCCAGTGCCTGCCACGTAGCGTTCAGTGGATGTTACTGCTGTCACCGTTGTCATCCTCACCGTGGTCATCGTTGCCGTGATTGTCATCCTCCATAGCAGACCTATATCCGACAGGATGTGTTTTCACGGCGTAAGAGTCAGCTAGAAATAAATAGCTGAAAGGATGACACTCAACCACCAGGCAACTTTCTGGTCACCTGAAAGTTTTTAGATTAGTTGAAGATTCCTGGAGCAGAGAGTGGGGGAAGCCTGGGGGGATGGGTAGTCAGCACAGCCTAGGAGCCCACTTGCCATGATATTTTGTGAATTTTTTCCACAACTCTCCAATGGTCAGGGTAAAGGGAAAATTGCCGTGACAGGGCTGTCTGCCCTTACATTTCCCTCCATACCAAGAAAGCTGAGCCACCTCTTTGGGGTTTTATTTGGCCGTCCTGGACAGAAAGGAAAGAAGAGAAAACAAAACCCACCTGGGGGAATTCCCTGGCAGTCCAGTGGTTAGGATTCCAAGCTTCCACTGCAGGGGGCACGGGTTCGATCCCTGCTCGGGGAGCTAAGATCCCACATGCCACGCAGCGTGGTCAAAAAAAAGAGGGAGGGAGAAAAAAATTCCACGTGGGTTGAAAATCCACGTATGTGTGTTTTGACAGGCAGTGGAGTGCCATAATGAGCCACAGACCGATTTCCGGGTGATAGGACAGGTAACCCTCGTTCAAAAATATTTATTGAGTGCTTGCTCCATAAGCAAGGTGCTGTGTTAGGTACTCTCAGGCAGGGGCACAGAGATGAATGAAACTAGATCCTGCTTTTCAAGAATTTGGAGTTTAGGAGATGAGACTCAAATATCCATAGCATCATAAAAAGAAAACATTAATAACACAATATAAGTGCAGATATTAGTATCCTCTGATTTTTGGTTCTTTTGGCTGCGTTGGGCCTTCTTTGCTGCACACGGGCTTTCTCTAGTTGCAACGAGCGGGAGCTACTCTTTGTTGCGGTGCACGGGCGTCTCATTGCGGTGGCTTCTCTTGTTGCGGAGCACGGGCTCTAGGCGCACGGGCTTCAGTAGTTGTGGCACGCAGGCTCAGTAGTTGTGGCTCGTGGGCTCTAGAGCACAGGCTCAGTAGTTGTGGTGCACGGGCTTAGTTGCTCTGCAGCATGTAGGATCTTCCTGGACCAGGGCTCGAACCCGTGTCTCCTGCATTGGCAGGCGGATTCTTAACAACTGCGCCACCAGGGAAGTCCCCTCTGATGACTTTTAATGCATACACTGTGAGTCTCAAAGAGTAATTGTCCAGTCAGCAAGTAGGCATTAAGAGAATATAGTTACAAAAGAAGGGGAAGGAATTTATTTTAAAGCAAAGCAAATATTTGATGACAGTTGTTACTAACCTACCAGGATCTCTCATGCCTTACACTTTGGTGCAAGCCTGACCAGTTTGGCAGCTGGAGCCCCTCTCTTGGAATCACCAAGCTCAGCCTCAGGCATCTGGGGGGATGGAGTCAGACGGAGTCAGATGGAGTCACCACCCACACATCTCCATCATCATAACCATCGTCGGGTCGTTGTCGTCATCCGTTTACTTGCCACTGTCCTTGCCACCCCTCATTTTCCAAGATCGTTTTATAATTTCTCACTGTAATGCCAGACGTTGGTGAAGGATACTACCCTTGGGGACACAGTTCTGCTCCAAACTTCTGGAAGGGGCTTCAATTCTATATACAGTAGCTTTCAAACTTCTTGGTGGCGATGGAACTTTTTTGTTCCCACAGAACCTTACATGGTACCCGATATAAAAGCAGACCTGCCTCCACCTGAAGCCCGCTCAACCCTGCTCTCATCGCACGTGTACCCAGGACCCACTGTCCCCCAGCCCATCCAAGGGATCACCTCAGCTTCCCCAAGGACTCCAGGGAACCCCAGTTTGAAAACTCTTTTATTATACATTTCTCCATCGATTTTGACTGATGCAGGCACTTAGCACCCAAGCAGTGGTACCTGGCTTAACAGAGAAGCTGGGGGCAGCCGTTAAAAAATGAAACAGGCAACAGTGGAGCCTTAAGAGCTGCTTCTTTCTGTTCCTTTTTTGGTTTAATTTTCAGGGGAATGTTTGTCAATAGAGAAATGCCAGGTGTTTATGTTCTTTTAGGGAAATAGAAGAAAGGGAGAGGGTGAGGTTAATCGGCACAAAAGAATGTCTCTGAAGGAAAAGGGGAGGCCAAGGAGCACGTTACAAATGTTGGTAAGAGAATAATTTTTGAGGACGCTTTCAAGGCACCAGAAAACTCAGGGGTGAACTCTGTTCCACAGTTAGTGGGAAATAACGTCCTTTTTCAGTTGTTTTAGGTTCACACGAGACCCCATGCCGTCAGAGATCGAAAAAGCATGATCAGGGCTTCCCTGGTGGTGCAGTGGTTGAGAGTCCGCCTGCCGATGCAGGGGACGCGGGTTCGTGCCCCGGTCCGGGAAGATCCCACATGCCGGTCTGGGAAGATCCCACGTGCCGTGGAGCGGCTGGGCCCGTGAGCCATGGCCGCTGAGCCTGTGTGTCCGGAGCCTGTGCTCCGCAACGGGAGAGGCCACAACAGTGGCCTTTTTTTGCCTGCCGCAAAAAAAAAAAAAGAAAAGAAAAGAAAAAAGAAAAAGCATGATCAGAAGTAAACATACCCACATAAGACTTAAAGCAGTTATTTTCCTCATATTAATGATGTAAATATAATAGATGTTTCAGTCACACTCATTATCTATAATTGGCCAAAAAAAAAATTGTCACACATGAATGGAATTATGGTTATCCCTTCCCAATCGTGAATTTCTCTTGTAGGAAATGCTAACAGCGTGTGAATTTATATCTTAAATATCATTTTGGTAACCTTGAAAATATTCCAGTTGCCATATTTTTGCGTTGCAACCCATCCTTGTCAGGGGTTCCTAAAAGAGGGACTTGGGTCTAGGATTGGAAAAGTGAAAGTTAGCTAGCAAGGGTTGGAACAGGATTGGAAGTGCAAGGCTCAACTCCTTGTCTGCTAACTAGATGAACGTGGCCATGTCTCTCAGCCTCTCTGGCCTCAAATTGCTCAACTGTCAAACAGAACTAAGGAGAATTAAGTGAGATAAAATACCAAGCTCATCATAAGCACTCAGTTCATGGTCGCTGGTAGTAGGGGGCAGTGGTAGTCAATGGGAAAGCAATGGGAGCCTCAGTGCTACCTGATTTCCATTCACCTGTCCTCCTGGCCTCTGTCCTTCAACCTGGGGCCCCTTGGATAACATACCAGTATGCTCTGCTTCTTTGCCCCCAACTCTAAGGAAACACATTATTTGCCCCACAGAGCCCAAGGGCTATGAATGACCAGGCCAACCAAAGCCATCAGGACTCTGTTGGAAAGGCGCGGGGGTTCGAGGAAGGGGGGCAGCAGAGGGAGGAAGGGTCAGCTGTGGAGGTCAGTGCTGCCAAGATCTGGGCACATTCCCCTCTGTCTCACAGATGCTCACACATCTCCCCTTAAAGTATAAAATGGCAAATGCCAATGAATCTAAGACTGACAAGGGCAGCAGGGAAAGAGGCAGAAGGTCCTAGATACCTGAAAAGGGCAGAGGTGAGTCTGGAGTAAAAGCTACTTCATTACATAGAGTAATCGCCAAAGTGGAAGCCATTTCTCTCCTTGACTTATGTTTGTCCCTGGGCTTTTCCTACTCATTTCTCAACAGGGGGGCCTTTGAAGTCAAGCAGGCAGAGCCCAGTCTCATTTCCACTTTTTATTAGCTTGGCAACCAATGTCCTCATCTGAGAAGTGTAGGTCATAGTTACGCGCACCTAAGGCAGTGGGTAGCTCCAATGAGAAAAGGTATGTGACGTGCCTACATGCAGTAAGGACTCAGTTAAGGTCAGTTGTTTTGCTCGTGCTTCCTCAAAGTGGTGGGGGTTAGGGGACTTCAAGTTTCTCTGGGTGTAACTGGACAGGGACCATCATCACATGCACTGTCTTTAGACCAGACTGGTAAGTGGAGGGGTGAGGGGTAATGTAGTGCTGAGGAAGAAAGGTTGGACGGCAGCTTAACACTTGCGAGACTTTTCCCACACTTTCTCATGGCCAGTTGCCCAATTCCCCATCATCCTCTCCAAGCCTTGGCTTTTTTGAGACGCAAGCTGGTCCCAACGCACTCCATCCCTCCAGGTTCCACCCTGGAGGGCAGTGATCAGAGCTGGGAGGAGGTCTTGAAAGCATCTGCCATTCCATCATCACCGGGAGGGTGCCCATGTCCTGAGTGACACAAGTCTAAAAACGAGGACATCCAGAGCTCCTTCCCGTTGTGCACATGCACACATGTGCCCAGCGTCCTTCCTTCATGTTTCTGTCTTGGTTCTCAGAGCTGATTCTGCTCTGCAGCTCGCAGTTTTCATGCTCAGCTTTACTCTCCACGATTCTCCTCCCCTCCCCTTTTGTCTGGCAGCTGGAACTTACTATTGAGTGTTTCAACTGTTCTAAGATTTTTTTTTCTTAACGAAACTTCTTTTTTTTAAATCAACATAGTATAGACACATAGTTCAAAAACTAAATAGTACTAAAAGGGTTAGAGTGAAAAACAGTAGTTCCTACCATCCTGGAACTCTGTTGACCCTCTCTGTGTTGGAGCACCTGTTTCCTGGATCCCTTTGCCACCTTCTCTCTTGGTTTGCTCCTTTATTTGATGGAGTATCTTCTCCATTAGCTTCCTGTGAAAAGGGACATGGGAGGTCAATTTTTAGAATCCTTATACACCTGAAAATGTTTTTATTCTACCCTCACACTTAATTGTTCATCTCTCTGAGTATATAACTGGATTGAGAATTATTTCC